AGAGAGAGAGAGAGAGATAAAGACAGGTGGACAGAGACAGAGATAAAGACAGAAAGACAGAGATAGAGACAAAGGTGCACAGCAACAACAGTAGTAACAACTACACTAATAGTAGTGACTGATGGTGATGATGATGATGATGAACATGAAGACGATGATGACGACGACGACAACAGCCACAACGATGGGGGACGATGAGCAATGATGATAGTAATAATAGTAACTGTAGTAATAATGATAATAATAATAACAATAATATTAGCAGTGGGAGTCAAGCAGGACCGCGGCAGGAGGTCCTTTTTTTTGTCCAATACTCCAAATACCTGCACAACTAATGACACTCCTTTCAAACTCAGTTGTACTCTTTTGTAATTACCAAATTACAAACATACTACCACGGACATGGTTAGCATTATACCAGCTAATCATCATCATGTTAGCATTGTCACAGTGAGTGCGTTAGTATGCTAATAGCATTTAGCTCAAACCACCACTGTGCCTGAGTAAAGCCTCACAGAGCTGCTAGCATGGCTGCAGTCTTGTGAAAATACAGACTACATGTTTTAGTCATAGCAACTTGAAAAATTTGTTCCACATTATGGGAAATACACTTGTCTGCTTTCTTTCTTGAAGATGAGAAGAAAGAAAACAAGTGTATTTCCCAAATGTACTAAAATGTGGAACTCATTTTTCAATACCGCTTTCATTTGTGTGGTAAATATGACGCCATAGCCAGCAGGCGCTTAGCTTAGCTAAAAGGCTCGAAACGGGGGGGACAGTCAGCCTGGCTGTGTCCAAAAGTATAGAAAATAAGCCTACCAGCACCCCGGAAGGTTCACTAATTAACATGTTATATTTAATTTGAACAAATACTAGCAAAATTAAGCCTGCTAGCATGCTAACATGCTGAAGTAAGACGATGAACAAAGATGGTAAACATTATAGCTGGTAAAATCAACATGTTAGCATTGTCATTGTGAGCGGTTGCATGCTGATGTCAGCATTAGCTCAAAGCACTATAGCCTCACAGAACTGCTAGCATGGCTGTAGTTTTGTTCGAATATAGACTAAATGTTTTTGGTTTGTTTGTTTTTTAAACATTTGCATAACTCAAGCAAGGATTTTGTTTTGAATAGGATAGGTCTAGTCCTGTGAGTATTCATTGAGGTAACATTAACAAAAACAACAATAGCACTCAATGACTCAATGTTTAACCCAAATGTGAGGATCAAACTAAGGTCAGAAGCCAGAGGTCAGCGCCCTCCACTGAACATCACCGCCTGCTGCAGAGAGGAGAAAACTCTGCCAACAGTCTAAACCCACTTGTGGTGTTTCATGCTTTTATAGCTGTTGTTTTTTTTATCTGCCTTGAGAGCCTGGCCTTGACATGCTAGCCCAGCCTGATTGTTATAGTGGCCAGGCTGTCCTGTGCTTAAAGAGGATCTCTCCCATTACAAACAGAAGTGAAGAGGCCAATCAAACCGCTGTTCCTGCCTGAGAACTTTATGTCAGTGCCAGACAGTGTACTGTTTGGACACTGCACACTGGGGGTTGGTGCAGGGATTTGGGAACGTACAAAAGGTCTCTTGAATCATCACATTGCTGTAGCTACACAGAGAGAGAGATGTTTCAGTGATTCTCTCTGATTCCCTGAAGATTTTTTTTTAATGATCACTTCACCAGCTGCTTATTACCTTTGGAGAAGTTTGGCTGTGTAAGCTGCAGCCGATTTCCTCACTGTCTCTTTTGGCCCTCTTTCGCTTGACACCCGGTGGGAGTTGAAAAACACTTGCAGTTTCTACACAGCTCTGGGAAATAACCCTGTGAAAGAGGAACTATGCCCTCTTGTCGTGCTCTCGTTAGAAAAGATCGCCAAAGCACCACATGAAACACAAGAACACCAAGTTTTTGTGGTGAAAGAATATGTAAAATAATACAGCCAGATGGCCTTCTGAATGCCACATCGCCTTGCTCACACTGAACACTGGGAACTTTCTAGTGTGGGCTTTTGTGCACAGTGCTGAAAGTGTGCATTCATTCTCACAGGAGAGCCTCAGCTGCTGCAGGAAAGCAGGTCTAATCCTGTATCGGCAGAGTGCAAGTTTATTCCTAATAAATTTGCTTAAATAGACTGTAAATTGGGCTTCGAGCTGGGAGAGGTGAAAGGCTGCCATGGCGCAGACACTGATCACAGAGAACATTATGTGCAAAGTAACATTTTGTCATGTTCCTAATCTGAGACGAATGAGTCCTGAAAACTTCTTAGATAATAAACATTGGGGTCAATTTGGGTGCATGGGTGTTAACAGGGACATTCAAGCGTGTCCTTGATACTGATCAATAGCATCAGCTGGTTTGTTTTCTGTCAGGACTTTGTAGCTGGTGACATGCTATTTTCCACACCCGGCTGGCTTCTGTGTTTGACATTTATAAATTGAAAACTAATGAAAATTCAATTTTTTATGGAATTCAAGCTGTCTACAAATATGTTTATACGGACCAGTTGTAAAACTAGCACCATAAAATAAATGATTGTCTAATAATCACAAAACCTTCATACCATACAGCTTTGACTCTTTCCACCCTACAATGGTGTTACTTGTCTCTTGCCGGAGGAATAAATTGAAGAAGACGTTGCCTGTGGTGGCTGGCTGGATTTCAATTGGCAAAGACCACAGAGTTGCTCGGAGGAGGATTTTGAGGTAAATTGTGAGTTCACCGAAAGGAAGCCATCATATTCTCAAAAAACTGTTGATGCTACATTGAGCAAAAATAATGACAAAGTATATCAACTCCTGAATGCCTTTTTTGACTCATCAAGGCCACAGTCTAAATATGATATAACTCTATTTTCTGCATTTATACATTCAAACTAGATGTTTGATTACAAATTAAAAGGTCATACTGTAATACAGTAAAAGGTAGAAGGTTTAGTTAACAAGTTAGAAAGAAACAAATTATTATTATTATTTACACCATCCCTATCCCTTCTTTGACTAGATTGTAATTAAAATCCTTTGAGAGCCTGTGAAGAAGAATTATTTTTGCCTGTGTGGAATCTCAGCAGGCTAAGCCAATAATTTGGCAGTTTGAAGCATTTTATCTCTCTGCTGGTGCAGTGTTTTGTTGGCCAGAGGCCCCAGAGTGTACTGATCGCTCCAAGAAGGTGACACAATAATATTCAAAGTATCAGGGACATCTTGTTGATGATGAACTGCAGCCCATTTTTGCAGAACTACTCACTTTTCTCAGAAAAGTTATTGTGTGACGTGTGCTTTTCTTTATCATTTCCTCATTTGTGATTTGATTATATGCAACAGGGGGAAGTTAATATGGTGCACTGACTTTTATTGGGATTCACCTCATCCGGTTCTAACAAAAATGTTGCATACTTCATACATACATGATTCCTCATCAACTAATATCTTTAGAAAGCAAACTTGCATGTATTTTTACCAGTAGTAGGACTGTAATATTAGTCGATTAAAGGTCCAGTGTGTAATATTTAGGAGGATCTATTGACAGAAATTGAATATTCAATGGTATGTTTTCATTAGTGTGTAATCACCTGACTATAGGAACTGTTACCTTAGAATGACCTGTTATTGCCAGCAATGGAGTCCACCATAGTAGCACAGTAGTAGTTTTTCAGGGCCACTGTAGTTTCTCCTACACACTTATCAGCCACTTTTCATTCCCAGGTTGTCAAATACAGATGTTTTAGGAATTACATTTTTAAAACTGTACAGTGAACCCATTAGCTTCTTTTTTTTGACAAATTCAGTGTTTTCTTGCCCCTTACGCTTGGCCGTTGCTCTATCACATATCATATATTAACTTTTCTTCACAGAAGTGAACAAAATACTGAGAAGCAGGCCTACTGTGTATATATCTTTCAAGTCTTCTTACACATCTTAAAATCAAGAAGGCCTCGCGACCCCCCTACAAAGCTTTGGCGACCTCTAGTGTGGGTCCCGACCCCCAGGTTGGGAACCACTACTTTGATCAAATAGTGGTTTGCATAAAATAACACTGTGGTGGACTGGTGGTGATGTTGTAAACTTGTTTTCCAGCAGAATAGGAAGTAATAATAGGAAATCCGTCACTAGTTGCAACCCCAAAAGAGTATGCAAAACATTTTAAGCAAATGCGTGTACCGCTCTAAACGCACAAACCCCCCCTTCTCCCCCCAAAAACAGCCTTTGATTTCATGTATTCTCCCTAAAAGGGTCTCTGCAGCGCGTAACTATGTCACCCGTATGTCATCTGAATGCATGGAGGCAACCTGTGGTGAAATTTCCAAGTAGCTCGTGTTGTTCGGTGCATTTGGGGACATGCAGTACCCAATGAATGAGCGGCTGCTCTGACGATGCTTGCCGAGTGCTGCCGGTCGACACGCCCCCAGCATGGATACAACCAGCAGGAACAGGCGCTCAGGAGACACACTCACTATGCTGGAGAGTGTTTGTAGCCGCGATGGGAGTTAACACATCCAAGTTTCTGGAGGTCCTGTTTCCAGCGTCGTTGCACTAAATAAAGACATTTGGTTTCTTCTTTTCTTTTTTTTTTTGTTCTCTTTTTCTTTTTTTCTCTCTCTCTGAGGGGGCTTGTCTGCGTTTTTCTATCCGAGGCGTTTCTCTCACAGGATGTTGATGATATTGGAAAGCCGGGTAAGATCATAAAGTCAGTTCTCTCTGATGAGAACGACCTCCTCCTCCTCCTCCTCCTCCTCACCACCACCACACAAAGGGAACCACGGAACAAGTACTTTTTTCACACGCCATCATTTTATTTTTTTAATTTTTTGAATGTCATTAAGAAGCAGAGGGGGCTGTTTCAAAGACAAAATGGATCACTTTGCAGCAGAGTGCCTTGTTTCAATGTCCAGTCGTGCAATTGTTCACGCTCCTAAAGGGAATAGGGAGATTAAACCAGAGATCCCGTCCTCCTCCAAGAACGGGGAGGAAATAAAAGAGCCTTTGGTGAAAGATAACTCCTCTCTTTTTGTGGTGGCGCGGATTCTTGCGGATTTTAACCAGCAGACTCCCAACAATGTTGCCGAGCAGGCAAAAATAAAGGATGAGAGCATGCCGAACCTCATAGAGGATGATGGAAACTCTGCCACACCTACCACCATCTCCGATCCTTCGCTCAAACAAAGAGGCAAAAGATCGCGAGGTCGAACTGAGCAAGAATCACCTCAGAAAAAGCACAAATGCCACTATTCAGGTTGTGAAAAAGTTTATGGCAAATCATCCCACCTCAAAGCCCACCTAAGGACACATACAGGTCAGTTTTCATTGGATGCAAATGTTTGTTGCTGTTGACCGTGACTTACTGTCGTTCCCTTGCCTACATGGGATTATTAATACTGACAATACTGATAAGAAAAGTGTGGTTTCTCTTACAGTCAACCCGATATCTGTACAGAGGAGGGTGACAGACTGCTGTTTCATAGAGTCATATGTCTAAATATTCACGGGTCCACCTTTTATAAAAAGAGCAAGAATCTGCACGCACAGCCCGGTAAAAGCCAAAATCGGTGCATGGTTTTAATAATTGCATTGTTCCTCTTAAGTTGTGTGAACTTTGCGATATGTCCTTTTTAATTTCGGGGGAGGGAGTCGAACATAGTGCCACTCCCACTCAAGTCTCGGAGCTTTGTCACTGCTTTCCTCTTGCAGTGCAACACCCCCCCTGCAACCCCCCCACCCCACACCCATACCCATCCAACCTCCCCCCGCATTGGACAGTGTGTACAAACCGAAACTGCAGTGCAAACGCACAACTAAATTACACAGATCCGATTTCCAGCGTTCTTCGGTGCGCATTCATTAGAGTCAACTTTGGTTCACATGGCGACATGGAGAAAAAAAAACAAGCTTCAACAAACAACATCGCAGAAATGAGCCAAGTGTGCACCGACATGGGCATGCAAAAGTTTTCAAGATCCACCCAGTGTGTGCCGACACACTGCAGACTAGAGGAGGGTTATCGTGCGCTCCAGATCGGCCGTATGATACGTTTGACTTTCCTGAAGGACCGTACCTCCATATTTTGCTCTTTGCATTCCGCAGGATAGGCTACTGAGATAGGGAGGGGGGGTGATGTAGATCGACTCAAATTGGGGTGATAAGAGCTGTGCGGTCGCCTGTCTGCCCAAAGCCCTTTGTTGTGATGTGCCACACCCCCGCTAGACAGACCGCCAGCTGATCTGGCCAGCAACAGACTCAGCTAGTTGAGCCTCGACCGAGGAGCCTCTCCTCCTTTCCCTCTGCTCTGTAAGACTGCAGATCGCACCCCCTCTGTTCTTCATACACAGCAGCCTGACAGCACAGAAACAAAACAGATCTCTCTAGATCGCACGAGAAACGCCTTGTGTGAACTTGACCTACATTTGAGTCATATAGATGTTTCGATCTACAGCAAAATAAAACAACAGCTGTACACAAAATTCAGAATATGTGGGACCTGCTTATTGCACAATTCACCCCTCATTTGTCTCAATATTTAAACATTTGTGACACATTCTTACAGCGGGTGAATGCTTGTCTGGTTGCCTCTTTAGCTTTTCTTTTTGCCTGCCTTTGTATGAGGATACACTCCCCCTGCCTGGCTTTGTGATTGGTTTGTGTCCTTTATATCTCTAGATTTATGATCCTTTAGAAGTATTTCATATGCTTGCCATATGTTGCATAACAAATCATACATATAAAACTGTAAGTGCACACAATAAGACACCCCTAGGCCTGTTATATCATATAATCTATCTATAATCTATACTGGTATTGTTGTCTTTAGTTAATTCTTATTAAGAATTACATATACACCACCTTGTATCTATCAGCTGCAGCTTGGTGCTGACTGCAGTGGTGTATAATCTTTGTTTTTCAAGAACAGGCAAAGAACACACTGGTTTGTCTTATGCATGTTTATAAAATGGGGATGTATTCAGTCCTATTAGTAAAATGACTTCCTAAAGAAAAAAAATGCCTGCATCTTCTGTAGTTTTATGTCTGTCTATCAGCCCTGCCCTTGTCTCATTTGCCTGTTAAGCCTTTCCTTTCTTTTGGGATACACTCCTGTGTCTGGCTTTGTGATTGGTTTGTGTCCTATAATTTCTGACAATGAGGACGGTTTCTGCTTATTTGATTGGATAATCACAGAACGTTAGTCATCTCAGTTCAGGTGCCTTGTCTCAGCCAAACTTGCAGCAGCGCTCTCAGAGAGCCAGCCCCCAGCCTGCTGTGTGCTTCCCTTCAGCCAGGACCATGTGTTTTTAGTGCAGTTTTATTGCTCCGTATTAGCCCTGCCCTTGTCTCTATGCCTATTAAGCGTTTCCTTTCGGCTGCCTTTCTGTTTAGATATTTTCAGCAGCTGCCTTCACGATTGGTTTGTGTGCCATAAATTCTGATAATAATGTCTCTTTCTGCTTATTTGATTGGATAGTCCCAGAATGTGGGTCATCTGAGTTCAGGCGGGCTGCCTCAGCCAACCTTGCAGTGCTTACATTGAGCCAGACTCTGGCAGTGTGCTTCCCTTCAGCCCCTACTAGCAGAGTCAGGAGAGAATGGATCCAGCCCAGTCGGTCCCAGCCAAACACCGCTATCTAATTGAGGGGGGAAACACTCTTAAAGACACAAAACAAAGAGCCAGGGACAAGGCGTCCTTACTTGACTTCTGTAACGCCCAAAGCCTCATCATCCCAGCTTTTGCAATCCTTGCGTGCGTGTGTGATTTGTCGGAGTGTAAGAGGAGCTGAAACCTGAGCTACATTGTATTTCTTATGCAATGTCTACAGCACATCAGAAGATCAATCCCATTACTAGCTCAAAATGAACTTCACCCAGTTGTCATGTCTTATGAGAGGCATCATAGTTTTTATTTTAAGCCATGCAAGAATTATTACAGTTAAGTAACACTTTTTTTTGGTTAAATTACTTATATTGTCTTTTGCAAACTTCTGAAGCATCAAGTATCAGTTCCCCTGATTTACATATTACCCAAGCAGTGAAGATGGTTTCAGCTTTATTTGTATAGGTTTTGAGAAGTCTTCTGGTTAGATATTTAGTTAATTTGTATTGCTCAAAGAGTTAAAAAATATACATAAAAAGGAAACAATGTGCTCGAGAACTTGCTATGGTTTTCAAAGGAAAGCTATGTAGAAAAAGTGTAACAGCGAGGCTTGTGGATTAGTCTACTCTGTCTCTTTAAAGGTATGAATAAATTCTTGGTCAAGGGTCTTAGTGGAGACTAAAGGCCGAAGTATGCTTG